AGGAAGGGTCTGAGAGCTGGGGGAGAGCAGTGATATCAGGCTGCCCCGAGACAGGCATAGGCCAGCTCAGGAGACTGTTTTATTCAAAAGCCCAGGCTTCAGGGTTGGTGCATGAGCGCATGTCGAGGACCCAGCCTCTGCTTCTGCACCTCTCCAGTGGGCAGTTGCTGTGGTGGAGCCTGCAGCTGCCTGCCACTGTCTTGCTGAGAAGCAGCAAGTTGTCTCTGACCCTTGAGGGTCTTCTGTGACACAGTTAGGGCCTGGGTCCCTCTTGTCCTCAGCCAGCCCCTGCCTGGCCCTCTGGAAGCACTTGTTTTTTCATCCCCCCCCAGGGGCCGATGGCTGGCTGACCTGGGCTTGGTTCTTCTCCCCCATCTAAGGGCAGAGTGTGAACCTGATGGCAGTGTGGTTTAGACCTGCAGCTTAACTGTGTGGCAGAGAAGGAGCTTTAGTGTTGGCAGCTTCCAAGACGGTCTTTGTTCTTCTCTTCAAGTTCCTCAGGTGTCACGGGCAGACCGGCTCAGAGCAGGTGAACGGCTGCCCGCCAGCCCCCGGTATCCATCACCCGCCACACCAGCCCTTACGGAGCACCCACTGGAGAGAACCACCGGCAGCCCAGAGATACAGCGTCCCCGGCCCCTCCTGCAACCCACTGCTGGGGCGACCTCCTGACGTCGCCTTCTTTGCAAACGTGAGTGCCGACGGCAGGGTGGGGACCAGCGCTGGCTCCGAAAGTGCTGGGAACTCAGGGCGCGGGGCTGAGACCAGTGGTTCGTGGCCCTGGCTGTGGGGGAGCACTTTGATTTCCCTGCCCCCAGGGAACAGGACTCATGAGATATAGAAGCATCTTTTGGCATCACCCTCTCGTGTCCTGTAACATGAGGGTGAGGGAGATGCTTTGCTGTGGCAGTGGCAGCCCTGGGCATGCAGATTGCTAGAGGCACCATCCTTGCTATACATAGCAAAGTGGGCCTTGAGAAACAGGCTTCTGCCTGGATCCAGCCTCTGACCTTCATATATGGGCACTGACATTGCAGTCCTTAAATAACCTCAGAATGGGTCTCCCCTCTTCCCCCTGGCAGCTGTGGACACACCAGAGTCCAGAGACCAGCTCACCCAGAGGCTGTGGCAGGGCTGGGAAGTGAGCCCTGGTCTGACTTCTGGGCCAGTGCAGCACTTTTCCCCTGAGACACCCCTAGAGAAGTCCATTTCACCAGCCAAGGTGTTGGGAAGGCTCGAGCGTAACCGAAACAGGATGATGGGGGATCCAGGGGAGACCCATCATGCCAGAAGGACGGTGACTACAGTGCAGGGTTTTAGGGGTGCAGCGGGACTGAGCCTGTGGGCTATGGCTGAGTGCACCCAGACAGACTGGAGAGAGGAATCTGCTAGGACCAGGAGAATTTCTGCTTCCCACGGGAAAATATCCTGGCATAGACCCTTCATCACTGCATTTCTTTCTTCCCAGGTTCCCCCCCGGAGGGAAGAATACCTGGGATCTTCCCTGCAGCCCTCAGGTGAGCCCCAAGGAGGCAGAGGACCTGTCCTGTCTCATGCACACGTGTTCTCCTCTAACTTGGCCTGGCCCAGCGTGGCCGTCTCCCCCTCCAGCTGTCCCGCTGCTGTCACTCACCAGATCTCCGAGCAGCTGCTGCGTGCTGCGTAACCCAAGCCCTGAGCATAATGTCTGCCGCCTTCCGCTCGCTCTCCCTGCCTGCCATCTGTCCGTCTCACGCGAGGCTTTGCATTTTAGGCTGGTTTTCCAGAAAAGGCATTTAACTATAGTTCCCCCAGATTTGCCAAGACCCACGATCCCATCAGACCTCGCTTATGCTTTCCCAATAAGTTTGCAGAGCTATGGCTGGGCAGATCACTGGGGGCAAGTCCCCTTGGGACAACAGCAGCCCATCACCTCCGCTGTGTGTCACCTGGTGTCAAAAGCTGTAGGCACAGAGCATTGCTTTGGGAGGGAGCTTGTCTGTCTAGGGCAGGATCAGGGCTCTGTGGGGCATGCATCCTTGTCTCGATATCTGACAGCTCTGGTTACCAGATTTCTCAGTGCAGCTTCTGAATGTCCTTTGCGGGGTGGGGGTCAGGCTTATGGTATTAAGCCCACAAGAAACCAGGTCATCAGGTCAGTTTTCCTTTCCCAGACGAAAATGCCGGCGTTTACGACCTGCCCGGGAACAGGCACACGTGGCTCGACTCAGACTACCACGACTATGCAGAACTCCAGAGCTTCCAGAGCGAGCTCAGTTATGACAACCTCTGGGAGGCCGAGGTGAAGGACTTGGGTGTCCGGCAGGGCCCGCCACCGTCCAGCCCTCAGTACTATCATGTCTGAGAGCAGCACACCCCAGCCATGCTCCTCGCCCCTCCACAGCCTGTTCTTCCCTGATCAGCTGGGACGATTCTGGGGTGTGTAAAGGAGGAGGAAGAGCCCCTGCTATGACTGTCCATTTGTGCTGAGGCCTGTGGGTGCCGGGTTCTCTGATCCCGATGGAGGCCACGTTGAACTGTTCCACCACAACTTAGTGCGATGCCCACAAGCCTGTGGAAGACACTCTGAATCCCGTTGAGGAATGAAATCCCTGCCTGCTTGCCAATGTATCTGCTGCACATGATCCCTGGGGACCTGTGGCATCCTCAGGAAACCTGCTGTCCGAACTGCTGGAGAATCAGGGCCAAGGGACAGCCGTTACTCTATGCAGCAGAAAAAAAGCCAAGGTGCTAACTGAGTTGCATTGGATCAAAAAACAAATGTGTGCATGGAAAGATCAGCTACTCAAAGGCCATAGAAGAGGTTGCTGGAGTGGTGAGTGTCTGTGAAGTATTAGAGCTATGGAGTGGGACCCTGATTATCTGCCTTTTCAGTGGAGTCTTGGTTGGTGATTAGTATTACAGGGCACCTTCATACCTTGAGCCCAGCCATTGAGCCAGATCACCTGCCATGCTGCACCACGGCCTGTGCGAAGGGACATGGACATGTGTGGTCTCCACACTCAGTGCTGCTGACGGCTGCACTCCTCGCACAGCCTCAGTACAAGGGGGACAGCTAGCCACCGAGGTGCAAAGAATCCTTGAGCCCTGCTCTCGCTCACCAAGGCAGTGCAAGGCATCTCCTCCCTGCTGGCTACTGCTCCATCTTCACTGTCAGCACTAGCTCAGATGCCAGGGCATCGAAGGGCATCTAAGAAGGGCATCGAAGAACCTGGCAGACATTGAGAGAGGGACAAAGGGGAAATCTGTTGCCTGAAGCGTGCTCGGGGATGCCACCCCGGCCTCCCATCCCTCTGCCCATGACCGAACTGCATCCAACCCGTTTCTATGAACAGGCAGGGGAAAGAGGAAATCTTCTTAAAGCAGAACTCAGCAGGCCCCTTCTGGTGCTTAAACATCTTCAGCAAAATTCACATGCTGAGCTCCTTCTCCTTAGTCCTCCAGGGCCCTTGCGGGAAGGTGCCAACAGGCATCACTCCAGAGGGGATATAGAGTCTGATCACTCCCCAGCCTCTGCAGTGCAGACAGGCTCACCAGCAAGCCAAAGGGCTTTCCCTGAAGCTGCACAGTCTATTGTTTGCTCCCCAGCAGCCTGTAGCATACTAAGGAACTCTTTTTTTTCCCCTTTCACTGGTACCCATGAAACAAGCTAGGAGACTGTGGTACTTGAACTCTTTTACATGGCATCGAACAAAGTTTACACATACAGTTTGAGTGGAATATTTGTATTTAATGTGTAAATGGAGGAGAGTTTCCAATCTATTTAATCTTGTAGCTCTGAACTGCAGCTCACTAACCCATGCATCTGTGCTGGGTGAGATGGGTGGCTCTTCTAAGCTGTTTTGTTTTATTTCAGGTTCACTTTCATATTGGGAAGGTTTATGTCTAAGAATAACTTAGCCTGGAGAGGATCTATTTATTCAGAACAGATTTGCACTGGGGAATTTCAGCGCACATAGTTTTCTTATGTGCAGCTGCACTCTGGTTTCAGCAAACGTAACACCTTGCAGAGACCATTTTTCCAATCTGGGTTGGGTTTTTATTTTTTGGTTTTTTTCCCTTTTGTGTAGCAGAAATTGCCATGAATTGAAATAACTTACTGTTTTCTTCTCTGGTTGTTTTCCACAAGATTGTACCATTCTAATAATATGCCTTCCTTCAGAAATGAGTCTCTCTCTTTATTTGTCCTTGTCTGGTTTAACAGAAGAATCTGTTTTCCCCCCCTTTATGATGCCATCCCAGCACCTCAAGGACAAAATAACTGTTCCTTCCTTCCCAGACTGTGAGTCACTGGGTAAAGGGAGGCTCTTCAAACTGCTGACAGTGTGGAGGGCTCAGGTTGGATCAGTGATTTGCAAACACATTATCTAGGTGCAAACTCTCTAGTGTATCCTTCAGGAGAGAGAGGCTGGAATTTGGAACTCCAAAGTTTATGGGCTGTTTTTCCCCTCCAATGTCTTTGGCTGAATGGGGCTTTGCAAGTAGCGGGCAAAGAATTGCTCAGTAGATTTTCCTGAAGGACATGACTTTGCCTGCCTGGGAAGTGTGTGGTTATGAGGCTGGGAGGGTCTGTGCTACCTGCACTCCAGCAGTGTAGGAAATTCAGACTGGGTGATGTTCATCACTGAGCAGATGCCCAGCAAAAGGGCTGAGCGGGTCATGAGTTGCCCAGAGGTCTTTAGCTGGGACTCTGTGCAGCGGTGGAAGTCACTCAAGGTGTGCATTCCCTTTCGCTCTCTCGTTCTCAATCAGCTCTAACACCTCTGAAGCTGCACCAGCCAGCTCTTTGGCAGGGGAAAGATAAAGATGTCAATGGAAGCAGTCCTACTAGAGATTTTCCTTTGAGTAAAATTAACATCCCAGGCCCACCTAGTGAGATGGCTGCAAGGCAGGTACTTGGCTAACAACCGAGCTGGGTAGGCAAATGGTTTGTCTATGGACTCTACAACACATCTCAAGTCCTCAAGACAGGGCTGGGGACTTAGACCCAGCCTCGTTTGCGATTCATTTGGGAACAAGACTTGGTGACATCAGTTTGGTCCCCCTGCCTCCCTGATGTGCTGGTTCTTAGGGTAATTTCTCCTCCTCCTGTTGTACTTTCAACTTTGGTTCAGGTTTCCTTTCCTGTGGTTTTCTGTCTGCCCTTTAGCCCTTTGACTCTAAATAAATGTCACCTTTTTACCTCATTCCCTTTACAGTGCAGAGGCGCTTCTGTTGGGAACAGAAATGCGGGCCAGGGAGAGGGCTGCCTTCCAAACAGACTGCTCAGTGTTGAAAGAAAAAATGAGAATGATGTATGTGCTGGGCGATTTCAGCACTGAAAATTAGGGGGGTTGCAATACTACAGGGCCTAATAGAAACCAGCTAACAAAGAAAGGGGTGAATTTGTGGCCTTCCAAATACTAAGGTATTGAAAAGATTCACCAAACTGCACAATAGGGCCAGTTAATTACTGATGGATAAGGAGCGAGTACCCCCAGACATTTCAGTGGCAGGATGATTGCTCCTCACCCCTCACTAATGCCTACAACAGGTCCTAGCCTGGGGTTCACTATCTTGCCCGACAGACAAAACTTCACGTTAGGGATGATCGTTCAGCCCAGAGAGAGGTGGGAGCCGCCTGCCAAGGGGCCCATGCGGGAACTGGATTGCCCATCCCTCAATTCCCTCGTTCAACTGCTCTGCAAAGGTTGCTCTGGGCAGATTCTGCACTGGCAAAACTGGCTTGGGTTGAGGTGCAGCTGTGTTTTATCTGAGCTATTTAAAGCGGTACAGGTGGTGCAATGGGAGTGCAGTAACCTGGCGCAGCTTATTCCCTTTCCTGTATGGGAATACATTCCACCGGTAGAAAGATATTTTATGTTGGTAAAATTTAGAGTGAGGGGGGCTATGCCACTTGACCTACTCTGGTATAACTATGGTATTACAAAGCCTCGGTACGTCCTTAAAATGGCTCCAAGATACCATTCCTTGACTTTGGGTAAAGTCAGAGCCATATCCCATCTTTACAACAAAGCCCCGTCTCATGCCTCCAGTACTACTGGTGTGCCTAAAGGACCCTCCAAGCCCGGTAGTGACTCACCCTGATGGTGGTTACCTGGCTGGAGCCACCGTTGTAGGCTGCAGCTCCACTCACATCGTCCTGTCTTGTGACTGTGTAAACCCAGTGCTCTGGCTCCAGCTCCAACACATTTCTCAGCCAGTCCAAGGTTTATAAATAGAGAACTTCTTCGAAGGGATACTAGCTATTGCCACGCAGAGGGCCCCTAAATTGAAAGCACAGGACCTTTGAAAACAATCCTACCTCCAATCCTACCATCCTTCAATCCTCCAGCCTGGGTTGCAACAGAGAAAAATGTCTTAAGGAGGTGACCCAGTAAGCACAGCACAAGGGCAATAGAGTTTGTAGCAAGCCTGCACACGTCCAACTGTTCTGGATCACCTTTTTTAATTTGATCTTGCAATAGTCAGCCCGAGCAAAGGTGGAGCTGTGATTACAGTTGGAAAATATTTGCAGCCAATAATTTATTATGGGACCAAGGCATTTAAAGACATGAGTCCCGGCCCAGCTCCCCAAGCAATCATGAGATTGGGCTGGAAGAACAGGAGTTTTTTTTCTTTTAAACGCATTGGGGTTCTTTCCTTTGCCATGGGGTTTCTGAGCTTTATAAATTGCACTCTGCTTCTACTTTTCAAGGCTTCCTTCCAGCAGCCATGAGAAATAGAAACGTACTCCTTTTACCAACCGGAGATGGTCACATAATCACGTGACTCTGGGAGCACAGGCTTTAAAGACAAAACATCGAACATCAGGAGATTCAGGCTCTGATCATGAGAGCTGGCAGCACTGAAACAACACCCCTGCCCTCTTTCCTGGGTGGGATTCAGCTGGGACCTGCCTCTGAGTTTTATTTCTTATAACCGTGTTTGTGTCTTTTGAAGGTTTTAGGAAGTAATTTATGCAAATACATTTTAGCTTTTTGGTTGCCGGCAAACTTCAGCTCTGGCTTCTAATAGTGCTCTTTGTGCTCTGTAATTGGTCAGCCACAATTTACGTTGTCATGTCTCCGTTCTCATTGGATGATTCCCCCATCCACCAAGACTGCTCTGTAGGGCTATGTGAAGGCTCGCTGTGGGCATACGTGTGCGAGTGCTCACTTGCACGCTCCACGTGCCCTGCTCCCATTCTGACAGCCAATGTGCTCCGAATCGCACTCTCGCCTGAATGCCCCTGGAGGGTGAATGAAAGGGCCTGGTGAACGCTGTCAAAACCCATGTGAGGCTTTAATTGAAGGAAAGCTCGCCGGCTTGTTTCTGCTGGGGTCCCCCAGGTCTCGTTACAGTCTGCACGACCTGTCAGGCTGCAGTGCACTAAATTACCTTCCTATGGAGAGCTCGGGAGGTTTCTCATGGAGCTACTGCATTTTAGGTGTGCGTGGGGGGGGAGGAAGCATGATCAGGCACTTATGGGGACTGGGAAAACAGGGCTCCTGGGTTTTGTTTCCAGCTTGGCTACAAACTCCTTGTGTGATGCTTCAAGTCAGTTCAACTCCTTGCGCCTTCTTCATGGGCAAAGCAGGGATGTCTCACTTGGTAGCGGCTGGGGGATTAGTTAATGCCTGTAAGAGGCTGTAAGACCCTTGGTGGCTGGAACTGCGAGGAATAATGCAGAGAGCCCCTTTGCACTGTATGGTAGAGCCCCTTACCTGCATCCAAGGCAGAGACCGCCAGTTGTGCCACCTGTGCCATTGCTATGAAGAATGCAAAGCCCACACACAGCCCTCGGGCTGGGGAGGAGTCCACTGTGCTGGTGCCAGGAAGGAGGGAATAGGCATGGATGTGATGGGGAGTTGCTTGCTTTCCTTGGAGAGTGGGCCCTGACTGTGTGAAGCAGGACTAAGAACTGGGCCTTGCCCTCATTCCCAAGCAGCTCAGAGAACTAGGTTGCTGTGACACTGTTGAGATGCCCATTGCCACTGGAGCACATCCCTTTAACTGCAGCCATGGCTGGTGGGGCTCAGTCAGCGGTTCTCTGTCTTTTTAGACCTGAGGCCCCTTGCAATAGGCCTGGCAGATGCAGCTCTCAGTGTTCACTCCACTTGTGACTACAGAAAAAAGAATAGAGCAATTCCTTGGTTGCAAAGACTACTGCAGATCAGAATGTTTTTCTCGCTGTAGACTTAGTTGAAATCTGCTTTTATCATGGGAATCATGTTTGCACGGTGCTATCATTGCACAGTACCTTTGAAAGGATCTTGAGGCATCCTGGTTGAAAATCACCGGGCTAAATCTACCCCCACCATGAGCACCCTGTCCCGTAGGACTTTGATATGTGCAGCTCACTCCAGGTTGGCTGGAGGAACCCACTGTGCGTATCGATCTCTTTGGACAAGGCACCCAGGGGATGGCAGGACCTGCAGAACTATCTCACGATAGTGCTAGAAGATAACAGTAAAAGCCACCCGTTTTCTGTAGGACCCAAGCAAAGGCTATGGGCAGTGCTCCCCCTGCTGCCCTTCGTAGACCAGACCTGGAAATCACTGAAGAGCGTGGCTTGTCTAATGGCTGCAAAGCCTCCTGGAATAGGCGGGTGACTCTGAGTGACCTGGCAGCCATCTCTGCTGGCACCTCTGCTCTGATCCTATTACAGGGAGATAAAATGATAACGAGGAGGCCATTGCTTGGGCTGTTTCTCGCAGGCAGCTTGGCTGGAATATTGATTGCTGCAGCATGGACCATTCACAGACGGAGGAGAAAATGAGGATCTATTCTCATCCAGCAATTGAGTGTTACTTTGGATGCCCGAGCCCTTCTGAACAGGGGCAGGCAGATGAAATATGGAGGTAATTACTAAGCATGCACCTGTCTGACTTTTTCATGTGCTTGGCAAGATGAGGTGTCAGATGAGAGTGCGACGTGTTAGGTTAGGAGGCAGCGCGGGGTCACATGTCTCCCCCGCTCCAGCCAAAGCCACTCTCCTTGGCAGTCACACCAATGCAGCAAGGCCTGGATACACTGCAAAGGTCATTTCTATTGTGGTGGCTCTCCCTGCTGCAGGAGATGGTCGCTTCTGGCTCCTCCCTCTAGGATATTGGGGATGTGACTGATCAGTGGAATGGGAGGAAACAGATTAAAGAGTTTAAAAGGTCAGTGATTAAACCAAGCATTAAAATTACAAGCAAGTCCAGGCAGGTGCTCCCTTGGGACGCTGCAGAGACTGCGGCTCTACAAAGCATAACAAAAGCTTCCCAGGACTTTTCCTCACATCCCCATCTCCAGCAGTGGGATTGGTACCATGAAAAGGAGATCATTTCCCTTCGCATTCGCCACAGGCCTGTAGCTATCTCTCTCCTAAGATATTTATTCCATCCCTGTGACTTTTCCTGGAGAGAACAAAAGGAGCAGGAAATGCAGGCTCAACCCAACTAGATCAGCTCTTAAGCTCCTGGCTTGTTCTACAGCACCCTTCAGGCAGAGATGCCTTCGTGCTTTGCAGATTAAGGCCAGGTCCTGCAGCATTGAGGTGCTGATTTCATGGGGAGCAAGGCACCTAAATACCTGTAGGGGTGTGGGCCTTAGAGCCTCATCCAAAGCCTACTAATGCAAAGCACTTATAAACACTTAGTGTGACCTCCTGAGTGCTGGTGCCCAGAGAAGCTTACCCATCGGACTCTGCGATGAGCAGGATTTCACCCAGTAAGTGTGCAGAGAGCTTGTGATATGGCTAATGCTACTTTTTTGCACAGAAAGACATCCTAGCTTGACTTAAAGACTTCAGACTGACTTCAAACCCACCCCATCCCTGTTCCAAGAGTAAATGACTTGCGACAGGTACAGCCTGCACCTTCTATTTACAACCCAGCTTGGGAGACGCCTCTTGACTGCAGTGGGGTTTGGTTCCAGCCTTGAAGGAGCTACCAATTGCTTTTGCTGCCAAAGGAATGGTATCATCTCTGGAGTCAAGTCCAGGGACCGTTTGCCATCTCACAACAACACTGATTAGAAATGGCAGCACAAGGAACAGGTACCATGCCCTGTCATTGTGACGGAGGGGACTCAGGTGGGCACAGCGTAGTGAACTGACTTAAACACTGTTTAGCTGAGCAGTCTTGCTCTTGCAAAGAACTGCATCTCCTCACTGTTCTCCATCCTAGCCCCTCTCTCTTGTTTTTAAGCCCCAGTCTCTGCATTGTATCAGCTCTACAAGGTGAGGCCCATGCTTTTTCTTTGAAGAGTTTTGCATACTGGCTTGGGATTTTCAAAGCTGACTAGGAGATTTAGGAACAACTCCTATGCATTTCAAGAGGTAACATGGGGCTCCCCCAACATGTTTTGAATAGGAAAAGGAGCTGGTTTTGAATAGCTCAGATAATAAGAATCAGTGAGCACGTCTACATGTGTGCATTTACTGTGTGGTAACTGAAGTTACTGCTCAGTAAATATGGTGACTTATGCTGACTTGAGCATAAATTTGATACCTGCATCATGCAGGTATCAAATTTATGCCTGATTAGTTACTGCACAGTAATGCACGTGTAAATGCCTTACTGCCCGGTAACACTGTGTGTGTGGACTGGCTTGGGACTAGCTTTAGTCCCAAGTCAGTCCACACACACAGTGTTACCAGGACTAACTTTAGTCCCAAGTCAGGCAACACACAAGGTTAATGTGCTTTTATGCTTGCACGTGTAGACGCTGGTCTATTCCTGCTTACCGCACAGTAAATTGAAGCTGGCGTAAATGCACGTGTAGACACGCCCAGTAAGAACAAGGAGAGGTGGTGCAGATCACAAAGAGCCAGGCTGCTGGTTTTATGGCCCATATGAAAACCTGCTACTTTATAGCCACCCATGCATGGCCTCTGTATCCTAGCTGAGTGGGAAGTCTAAGTGGTACCTAAGGTTTGATACTGCACCACCTTGAGCCTTGAGTCATGCAGAGCGAGTGTGCAATGCTGGTGAATCCATGCTGTTAGCACAGGTGTGACTGATGATACCCGAGGTCCAGAGTCGGGTCCCTGGAATTTTCCTGGGATGTTTCCCATCTGAGCCCATCCATCCCTTTTTCAGGTAAGACAGCAGCACCATGTGAAGGGCAGAGAACACTTTGGCAGGGGGCAGGAGCCCTGAAGAAGCCATTCACAAAACCTTTGGAAAAGGGAAGTGGAGAAGCAAATGGGTCACTGTCTAGAGTCACGTAGCAAGAGGCTGAGCCATGCATCAAACCCAAAGTCCTCAGGTCTGAACTGAATTGACTGAGCTCATTCATTGATCACAAGGCCCCAAAAACAGCGGGGTGGAGCAGACAGCATCTGCTCTTCCAAGCCAGTCCATGCAATTCTGGCTCATTGTGAGTGGCTTGGAATAGCATCCTTTTTGAAGGCCTGGATTAGATGAGAGTCCAGCTCAGGTAGGAGACTAGGGTAGGAGCAACCAGACCCGCATGGGTAAAACTTGACTCTGCACAACTGGCCTCCCATGCATTGTTGTAGCTCAGCCCAGCCCAAACTTGCTTTGAAAGGTCTGAGGATTACATTCCTTTTCTTTTTTTCTCATTGCCTGGGATCTGGCCAGGAGGCTCAGAAAACCGGGTGTGAGAAGAACCCCGTGTTCCAGTGAGACCTTCCCTCTGGCTTCGCTTCAGAGAAGCATCCACATTTCAGCCCCAGCCCTAAGCCTACATCTTTGGCATTTCTCCATCTTAAATTAGGGGCTGGTTCACAGAATCATTCATTTATGTATTGTGGACAGCTGAGCAGTGTTTGCTAGCAGAGTAGCTAGCTCTACAGCTTAGGGCAAAAATCAACTGAGTTTCACCCTTGGAAGGAAGGAAATGATGGATTCCCTTTAGGTTAAAAACAGAGGAGCCAGCAGAGATTATTCTTGCCTTAATTGCTCTCCCTGCACAAGCTTCCAGGGCTAAGTGTGGATGTGAGCGCGGGAGCCAAAGCAGATACTGGAGACTCTGCTCCATCGAAATGAGCTGCCCCCTCTGCTTTGATTGTTTAAATCAGTGTTATTTACTGGCTCCCAGGAAAGCCTGGGATAATGAAGTAGTCTCATTCCTCCAGCTGTTCCTCCATTACCCACCCACCATGCAGAGGCCTCCATATTCCCACCTGCCACAGTGAATGTGCAGCACAGTTAATGGATTATGGCTGGGTAAACAGTAACCCTACTCACGGCTGAATGTTTGAACTCCCTCAGTGCTGCACTGCGCTTGCTCCTTGCTGGGTAGGGGCGAAATTTGTCTGCACAGTTAATCAAGGCTGGAAGCTGGCTTTGCAGCCTCGGTGCTGCAGCAGTCCAGGGGACCCCAGAAGCAGAGCTGAGCAGCTGGCGGGGAGTGGGGAGGGCAAGGGTTCCCTGGGGTGTCTGCTACCATGGAGCTGACTCTTCTGCTGTGTCACTTGCACCCACCCCAGAGGCTTCCTTACTGGGGCCAGTTAGCAGCAGGGCAGCTCCAAGCACAGCCTGGCTCGGTCCTCTGCAAGGGGATGTAGGTCCAGGCTGGAGGAAGGTAGCCCTAGCAACATAGCCAGGGTGCAGGGGGGTGGAGGGGCAGCAAGTCCCCCCTTGTGGCACCTGTGGTCCAGGCTCACCCAAGCACAGCCCCTAAGGGCGCTGCAGCAGTGCCAAGGTGCCCCTGGGTGCTAAGAAGATGGGGTGGCCCTGGTCCAGTCTGCACCCAGAGCCCAGCTGCCCCCTCCGATGGGCATGCTGGGCCACCCTGCTTGGAATCAGCTCAGAGCAGGGAAGCATCCTGTGTGCTATTGCAGAGTCCCCGGTGGCACTTACCTAGTCCCCTTGAACACATTATCTGCCTACGCTGCAGGCTTTAGTGTCTTTTCCCCCACAGTTCCCCCTTAGGGCAGTGCTTCTACCCCCATGTTACAGGTGGGTAAAACTGAAGCTCAGAAGGGCTCGGGGCTCGATGTTCACCTGGTGCGTTGTTCAAGGTTTGGTGCATGAATGACTAGAAAATATCTGCAGCACCGGGGAATAAATACACGACAGGGTGAAATGGGATAGAAACCTTGTGGGAAGCTGCCAACACCTTTACTCCATTCTCCTTGGCCATTAAGCTCCTTTTATTTATTTGATATATACAATTAACATACTCTATATACAGCACGTACCCATGGTGTTCTCTTTATTTACTGATAGGCTTCTTGTTGTACCTAAATATCCTATTGCTTTTAGGATATCCAGTACAGACACACACACAGACACACACACTCGCCCCACATTAAACCTCCATTTTGCCACGTATTACGAAGAAATATCCAGACAGGATAAGACAGGTAAAGGAACCGTCTCCAAAGAAATGGCTCATCAGCATTAATACATCAGTTATATTCCCCAGAGGTGAGATGGGGGCAGGCTGGACACTGCACATTTGAAGGGCCTGAGTGTGATGGCTGCACCCAGCCTGCTTCCTAGTGAGTTTAAGATCACACTGAATGTCCTTGAGTCTGACACCACCTGCTATTTTTGGGAGTCTGGGCTTGGATTGTGAGAGATGATCTAGAGGAGTGACCAACTGGCATGTGCTTTTATAGCAGGAAACATAAATTAGAGGTGAGTAAAATGAATTCAGTCACGTAGGTCAAGGATGGTGACCCAGAGTGGTAGACATGTCACATATTAGCTCCATACCTTCCCCAAGTGCCACTTCAATTCCCTTCCCCTGCCTGACATGTTGCTCTGCTTTTTAACTCCTGCTCTGTGCTCCCTGCCCAATGTCCTATCTGCTTCCTACATGAAGCCCCATGCCTGATCTCCTGCTCTGCTTTCTGCCTCCTTCCCTATCTGCTGCTGTGTTGCCTGTCCCCTCCCTGCTCTGCTGTGTGCCACACGTGGAGTCTGCTCGTGATGCAGATTGGCAACCCCTGACCTAGGTTATGATCGATATTGGGACTGAGCAGTTAGCACGGCTGCAGAGGGAGCTCACAATGCACTGCTCATTTAACGTTTAATCCACAACAGGAATAGATAAGGGATGATGGTTGGGCAGAGCAGCAACAAACGCCTAATTTAGGAAGCACCTGAAAAAAATCCAGGACAGTTCCTGTTGCCTGTCTGCCCACGTCTCCCCTGAGGACAGGAGTGGGCTTTACAATATAATTAATGAACTATTCAGCCTGGCTTTGAACAGCTGCTGCACCTGATGGACCAAGGGAGGCTGTGGAGGCTGGGTCTCTTAGCTCTGGAAGTCTTGAGCTCAGTCCCTCGACTGTGGTGGGGAAAGAAAAGAAATGCCTCGTGACCCCCTATTCAAAGTTCAAAGCAGGAACAAAGTCTGAAGCTTGGCATCAGCTTAGAAGCACGGGATTTGCAACAGTGCCTTTACTCAGACGTGGTAAGGAGAAGCGGGCTCACGTACGCTTCCTCTCCTTGGGCAGAGAGCCTCCGTTCCTGAGTGCTTGATGGTCCATTAGGAGGGGGCAGCCACAACCAGTGACCTCCCAGTGGGACTGGGTGGATTAATGTGACTAACCCAAGGCACTCAGATCCTTCCCTCTTCTTTGCCCTGTCTTGACTACTTCCATCCTCCTCTGAACCTTTGGTTGTCCCTTGTGCTGCCCGCAGCCTATGTTTTGAAGACCCTTTCCACCCCAACAGGGAAAAAAGGCCTGAGCCTCTCAGTCAGCGAGCAAGGGAGTAGCTGGGGAAATGGAGAGGAAAGAAGTGGGTGATATTTTCTTCCTGTTCCTTATTCCTCCCAGGTCTCATTGCCTTCCAGACAGCCCCTCTCCCACACACTTGGACAATGGACATCTCCTTTCTCAATTTCCATCCTGCTCACTTTCTGCAGTACGTCCTGCTGCGGTGGACACAGCAGAAGGGCTCTCCAACCCTTTGTCTTTGCCCTGGTCAGCCCTGAGGGCTGTGTTACCTACCTGAGAGCCTATGCCTGAATGCTATTTATGCCTACAGAATTAAATTAAAGCAATGTTTTTTTGCAAAAATCTAGTTGGTCTAATAAAAGATATCACCTTTACCATAAGTTCTGATTCATTTATGCCCACAGCTGTTCAGTATCTTCCCTTCCTTCTGGGTCTCTGGTGTTCCTCCAGCACAGCCTCAAACCTCTCCTAATTGGAGACCACTCCTCGCTCCAGCCCCTTGATGTGCTGTTTCTGCAGCCCCAATCCATGCAGCATAAAAGAGCTAAATACTACCTTCCCCTTCAGATCACCTATGGCCCTGCACTTTAGCTGTCTGAATGGTGCCAAGTCCTTCTGCACCCATGGCACTTCACAGCCCCGATGCGTCAGGGACTGGGAGACCTGAGGCAGTGAAGTCAGTAAGCATGAGGCTCTAGAGACCCTTCTCTGCTTCCCTGAAAGGCACCCTTGGAATAAACCCAGTGACTTTTAGCAGTGAAATCCAAGAGGCTAAGCTCCCTGCCATGATCCCGGCCATTCCCGGGAAGGCTCAGCTCTGCTGAGCAGCTGCCCTGCTAGGCTCACTTGGATGCAGTCCTGATTTCTCAGCCTGAGCCTGGCCAGGGTTTAATAACCAATGTGAAATCGGCTACCAAGGACCTGTTTAGATGGACCCTCTGTCCTTCCCAGCACCTCTCCCCTGTCTCACACAGATTTTCCCCACAACAGAAACCCCTATTTCTTTTGCTATCTTCAGTGCTGCCAACCCCCACTTTCAATCCAGGGAGGACACAGATCCTCTTTGAGCATGGCTGGTGTGTGTGTGCAGCTACTTAAAGAATCACAGAAGATAGTATGGCTATGCAAGAGATGTCCTTAGAGAGAAAGCATTCGCTGAGCCTGATTCTTCTCAGTGCAGCTACATAATGCCTGTAACATCAGCAGATGAAATGGCAGGTTTCACTGGAAGGATCCTGCTTCCCAGAACAGTCTATTCCAGCTTGCCAGTGCATCCAGTGGAGATGTGGTACTGGGATCCAGGCTGCTAGCAGTCTTCTTGCTAAGAACGGGGTACAGGGAGAAACTTCTCTTGGGATCTTCCTTACCTGCCCATGGAGGGGTATCTCTGGCTGTGCATGCATTTAGGTTCTCGGCTCCTTTTCCACAGCCTGCCGTCTGAAATAGCGGATGGCGGAGAGGGTACCGAAGCTGGCCAGGAACGCTGCAAAAGTCCCCACATTGGCAAAGTGAATTCAGAAGCTTTTCCCAAAACCCTCGGTTAAGAATTTCTTACAGCAAATTTGTTTCCAAACCAGAGTTTCAGACCATGGGCATCTGCATGTTGTGCTCTCTCTGCCCCACAGCAGCCATCATTTCTGTCTGGTTGTGTCTTAGGGTCATAGCTATTTACTCATTACTCTGCATTGTGATGGCATTTTCAGCGGCAGATTGCAGGGCAACAAGTTCACTGATCCTCCTAAACGCTATTTGTGGTAGGCAAAAATACCCCTTTGGGGGAATAGGAAGAAGAGAACAGGGGGCAATGACTTCTTTGAGGTCATTGCTGACTTACATGGGCACATAGGAGAAGCAGGAGTGCGGGGGCTGAGGGGTAGACACCACCCCTATAGAGTTAATGACAGAGGACAGCCAAGAATGAAACAGCTAGCCTTGCCTAGCCATTTGCTCCAAGTGCCCAGCACTGCTCCCAGCCTCAGCTGAAGGGCTGGGTTTGCTTTGAACAAATGGCAAGAGGACAAAAGGCTCATTTGTAGGAGATGAGTGTAATTCTGATTTCAGGTATGCTGGCGAAAGATGGGATTATTGTCCATGCTGTGTTTACCCTGTAGCACTCGAGCACTGGGTGACTAGTAAGGCTAAGAGCTTAGCAGAACCTAGAAAAGGGACTGTGTATTTATATTTAAAAAATAAATAACACTGTGCACAGTTAGTCTAGGAAAGATAAACATCTATGAAGGAACAGAAACCCTTATACTTCAGGACATAAGCCAGCTATTAGCTGTGGGGTGTCTTTTTGGGCAGGCTATTCCTTAATCCTCCTGTTTTCTCCAAACTCCATTAAAGTCAACAGGAGTGATGTGTGGAGGACAGAGAAAAGGGAATAGGGGTAGGGGGATGGGGTAATTGAAATAAGAACTGGGTGGGTTATATTTCTATTGGTGTTAGAGATTATTAGAAGCCATCGGTGATCGTTTCGAGAGAACAGGAAGGTGACCGAAGGGTGAATTAGGGAGAGACCGCTCATAGGCTGTATGCTTGTATTTTATATTCTGACACTGTCTAAGCTGCATCCACAAGTCTCTGCCCCAAATGCTTTTCCCCTCCTACATGGGCATTGTACGTACCAGTCTTCCAGGCATCTGGAGCCTGCAGGTTGGAGGTCTTCATGGCCCAGGATGCAAAGGCAACGAAGACCAGGCACATGTCCTTCTGCGTTAGTGCTAACTGGGGATGGGGCCTTGCTGCAGAGACAACAACACACACAGTCATGAAGCTGATATGAAATACTGGTGGTTGTGCTCTCCATCAGCCAGGGCAGATGAGTCTTTCTGGCATGCTGGGGCTTTTAAATTCATCTTCATTTCTTTTGCCCCCTCTCCTCTGACTAAGGCTTTCAAAAGGCAAGGGAGCTGCATGGATCTTTTTCTCTCCTCCGCGGTTTGGTTGTGGTCATGTTCATGGGGAAGAGGGGAGACCTAATCTGAGGTTATTTCATGTTGAGAAAATTGGTCCTTGTAATCTTTCATTTCATCCAGTTGTTTTTTTTTTTAAAGGCCTTGTGACAAATGGACTTGGGAGCTTGCAAGCAGCTTCCAATCAGTTCATCGAATCATAGAAGATGAGGGTTGGGAGGGATCTCAGGAGGTCACATCTAGTCCAGCCCCTACTCGAAGCAGGACCAGCCCTAACTAGATCAGTTCAGAGAAGGGAACCAGCTGTGGGCTAACAGAGTCACAGATGTGTCTGTCTGAGGTCCTTGCCCAGTCTCCTTTAATACATTATCCAACTGCCCCACAACTCCCCGCTTAGGGCTGTGCACCCCACCCCATTTTACAGGTGGGAAAACTGAGGATCAGAGAAGCTAAGTGACATGCCCAGGATGTCACAAGCAGTCTGTGACATGCATCCTAGCCTCCACCAAGTGCCTTAACATTGGGCCACCCACTCGGGAAGGAGATGGTCCGGTGAAGAGAGCTGGAGCTGGGGAGTGATGTACAGCCCAAAGCAAGTCTCTCAGAGCTGGTTTCACCATCTATAAAATAGGGTAGCAGTGATTCAGCTTTGTAAAGCTCTTTGAGATCAGTGGATGAACCACATCCTGCAAGAGCTAAGCCTTGTTGCTGTTAATTTTGTGAGAAACACAGCTCCCCCAGGGCCATTTCCGCTCCCTAAGTGCTCTCCAGGGCTTTCAGTAAGGGTCTCTGAGACTCTCCCTCCACTTCGCCTCTGCTGGAGGCCCAATCTAGCAACCTTCAAGGGGCTGTCACTAGCCGGCTTATTTTTGTGAGCTTGTTTATTTGATCAGGCCTTGAATTGAAGGAGGTTTATTAATTAGTTACCACCAAGATTAAGGGTCCCCCCCCTTCTTGTTCTCTGTGCAAATAAAGAGGAAGCAACTTTGCTGAGTCACTAAGTGATGGGACTCAGTATTAACTACGAGGCGCCAAGGCTCTAAGCTGGGTATATGCTTTTAAATAAACGAGATTGCAGTCCGAACGGTTCATATTTCCTCTCCTTTTATTTCCGTCCCCTCTCTCCTTCACCTGCCTGCCTTAATAAGCAAGGTCTGAGTCACCTCTGAGGAGGGAGCTTATTAAATTAATGCTAGTTCTCACATCTTCCTCATCTGTTCCAGCTAAAAAGCCTGCACATCTTTCCCATTGGGAGCTGGGGGAAGGGCCCAGTTTGCCTTTTATTTCCCTGCTAGCGCTGTACCCATTAACAACCCCGTCTGGCCAGCTAGACAATAGATTAGCAACCATCGCCCTGTCTCAGGGGTGCGTGTCCTTTGTATACAAGCCTTTCCGGCTGCTGCTATCTATATATAGAAAATTTGGGCTGCAAGGGACTTCAGGAGGTCACATCTAGTCCAACCCCCTGCTTAAAGCAAGACCGGCCCCAACTAGATCATGCCAGCCAAGGCTTTATCTATCCAGGTCTTAAAAACCTTCAAGGATGGAGACTCCACAACTTCTCTAGATAACCTGTTTCAGTGCTTTACTAGCTAGTGAGAAAATTTTTCCTAATATCTAATATCTAACCTAAACTTCCCTTCCTGCAACCTGAGACCATTGCTCCTTGTTTTGTCAGCAATACCCCAGCTACATGGTTCTCTGGTTTGGGCTACAGTATTGTCATGTGGAAAATTGGGATGAGGAACACCCCTGAAGCCAGTCCAGGGTTGAGTTTATATGTGCTCATTACTAGCAGGGTTCAAGTCTGGGTTTCTCAGCCTGTGTGAGGAAGGTGAAGTCTCATCCCCATCCTAAATTGCTATGTGGTTGGTGTGGGGAGGGCTCAGCCTCAGTCCCTGCGTGTGTGTGTTGTCAAGAGAGGCATCACAAGACAGCACTGTTACACACGGTCTTCCAAGCTCGCTGTCTTTTATGAGAAGGTGTTTGCTGCCTCGTGGTGGGGTTGATACAGTAGGTGCTGTGCAGAGAGGGCCGTGTGAGTGCAAGCAGCTTGTTCTTTGCTTTGGGCTTTGATAGGCATCTGCTTTGGAGGCAGGGCAGATCCCTGGCTACTGGGCCTTGGGGCTGGGCTAAGATTCATGGGAGAAGGTGTTGTCCGCATGAAGCTTGTGACCATCTCTGCTTCAGGACTGGTGTATTTGCATAAATCCAGAAAATTACTCACAGAATATACCCAGGCTTGATATCACGGGACTGCAGGAAAGTAGGGATGGAAGGGACCTCACAAGGTCATCTAGTCCAGCCCCCTGCTTGAAGCAAAGTCATCCCTGACAAAACCATCCCAGCCAAGTGTCTGTCTAACCTACTCCTGAAAAACTTCTCTAGGTGGCCTGTTCCAATGCTTGACTGCCCTTGCAGTCAGAAAATTCCTCCTAATTCCCAACCTAAATTTACTCTGTTCTGGTATGAGGCCATTGCTCCTAGTCCGGTCATGTCCATCCTTTTTTTTAAGTGCCCTTTGGGTATTTGAAGACTTATCAAATCTCCCCTCAGATATCACTGATTGTCTTCCATTGGGAAGCAAACTTGCAAGGCCAAGGCTTGCTCTGCAAAGGGGCAACACTGCTGTCAGCAGAAGAGGAAACCCAACAAAGCAGCCTGGTGTTGCAGCACTAAATTGTGTTTAGCAGTGAGGAACCAAATGCAAAATCCAACCATGGCAGGAAAACATGGCGACAGCTTGGTTTAAACCCAGCTGCATGTAACCAAGTTGTGTTTTAAGGAGGCTGAGGGACTTTTGGCTATAAGGGTACCCTCCAACATGACTGAAATTAAAGTGAGGATGGGACTTTTGACCAACTCAGGGCTGGCACAGCCCGGTTAGTGTGAGTCGTGCAAAATGAGGGGGGCACTGGCACTACCTCTGTGAAGCAGCACCTGGAAATGTAGGGTAATGATGATGATTTGGAGGGAATGGACATGTGGGGCTGGGTCTTGGCAATGGAGAAATGAGCACAGGACAAACTGATGGAGAAGGCGGTGCTCATTCTGGACAAGCAGCCCAGGGCAGTGGAGGTGAGGAGGCGCACTGGTTGTAGGCAGAGACACCGAGGAGCTCATGGGCAAGGGGCATTGGGCATGGTTGTGGGGCAGGACCCTGCGGGACATGGTGGGGTTTGCTTCCATGTGTAGCCAACCTGCCTGTGTGCAGAAAGGGGCACCCCTGGCCCAGGCATAGGGCAGGGGGAAGGGACATGCATATTCACAAGAATCAGGCATTTACCTGCAAGATCAAGGGTCTTCTCCAGCTCCTCTGGCATAGCCTGGCCTCTCCCCAGCAGCTGCAGTGGGAGCAGGGGCAAATTTTCCTGGGAGCTTCTCTCTGCTGGAGCCCCGGGGTCAGGGGGCCAGCCTCTGACCAGGTGCACCGGCTTCCCCAGGAGGGATTTCAAAGCCCTGATGGCTTTTCTGGCCTTGGAGTCTGACGCACGCAGGGACATCCCCTTCCAGCTCTTCCTTTCCCCAGCTTCATTGGCAAAGAAATGTTCATAAGCCTCAGGGACAGAGAAGACTGGGGCCTCCCCTGAGGCTTCCTCTGGGTCCCCCTCATCATCATGGGGTGATGCTTGGTCCCAGTTGATGCACCGCGCTGACTCCGAGGCTTCATCTTTGCTTTCCCACCCGCTGCTCCCGCTCCTGTCAGGGTCGGCGAAGAAGTACTCATACATCTCTGGCCCGTACATCTCGGGCACTGGCTGCTCCTGCTCCGAGGAGGCCGTGGGCATCCCCTCCCCTTCCTCACCCCAGTGGTAATCCCCTCTCTCCTGGCCCTCCATGTCGCAGAAGAAGTAGTCATAAATCTCCGGCCAGGTCAGGGCAGGCGCATTGCTCTCCCCAGAGTCCTCGGCTGCTGGACAAGGCACATGCTCCTCTCTCTCCATGACGGCACCCGAGGGCTCACTTTCACCAGCTTCCAGCCCTGCAGCTTGTGCTGGCCTCCTGGGCCTCACTGACTTCAGTCCTGCTGCAGGCTGCGCTGCAGACTGTGCTGCCCGCTGCACCCCCTGCCCCGAACCCTGCATTTCTGCCGTCGCGACACCATGGAGCAGGATCCTGCCTGTCCCTGCTTCCTCCTGGCTCCCAGGACCTGGTGTGTTCACCACCTCCTTCTCCTTTGTCTCTGGAAGTGGGACCGAGGGGGTTAAACCATCCTTGGTGGGACCCAGGCTGCCCTGTGCCTCGGTGCCAGAAGGCTCCTGGAGCAATGGTGTCGCCTCGGCTGCAGATGCTGCAAGGTGCTCGTGGCTCTTTCCCTGCCTCACCGG